TAAATATTTAGTTTGTTAAATAAATATTTAGTTTGTTAAATAAGTATTTAGTTAGTTAAATAAATATTTACATCCAGACTATATATTTAGTTTGTTGAATAAATATTTAGCTCCAAATTAAATATTTAGATGCAATTTAAATATTTAGTTTGTGAAATAAATATTTAGCTCATCGCTAAATATTTAGATGAAATTTAAATATGTAGTTTGCAAATTAAATATTTAATTTTTAAATAAATATTTAGCATAAAAAAATGACTGAACAAACTAAATATTTAGCTAGCACCGAGCTAGCTAAATATTTAATGAAGGAGAATGGGGTGGCTTTCTCCCTCCAGTAGAAAGGGAAAGCAGTCGTTGCTATGGCAACACAGTGACGCCCCATGTGTGGCTGTAGCTCTGCAGCACAGGTTAACATAACATTAAACATTTGCCCCTTTGTTAAAACAAATGCATACAATCAAATAAAACTATTTCAAAGAGGACCTTGCATTTTGGAATTAATGATGTGATTTCCTGTCGCTGTCTACGGCATCAGTCAAGATGCCGTAGGAGGTGTATGGAGATTCCCAGGCTTTTACTTTGGTAGTTCACTTCCGCTTTTCGGCTAGGGAAGTTGCTTATTCGCTAAATATCCATAAATATTGCTCCTAATTTTTTACTGCTTAACTTTACAAACCACGCCCCATATTTTTTCTCCTACTTGATGTCTTACCATAAATTTAAGATTAAACATTTGATATTCCCATAAAAAATAGGATCAAATGCAGCAACGTTGTATAACTTAAATTTAAATTTGTAATTTAGTTCAGCGAGGAAGAAGAGAAGATAAAAAGAGCGGTGGGAACTTTCTGCAGCAACCAACCATCTGCTTTGGAGCTCATCAAGACGAGGCAGAAAAAAGACCAGCGGTTCAACCTGTTCATGCAGGTCAGTGTTAAACCTCCACCTCGGTTCTTTTCCACAATGCCAGGCGTATCTCTATGATGAGAGCTGTAGGGTCTATCAAAAATTAACTCAAGAAAGATTTAATAAAGGATATCAACTTGTATCAACACTAATCCAACAACCCACTGATACTGATGTCTGAAAAGATATTTATTAGTTAAATAAAGCTTATATGTGGATGACAGTGAGGAAGTGACCCTCCTGAACAGCACAGGAAGCCATTATCCTTTTAAGTATTAACTTTTCAAAGAGATTGATGACAAAGCTGTGTCTGGATAAGGTTACCTGTTAAGATTCGCTTCACAGATATGAACTTTCAATATTATTTTACTGTAGTACAAATTAACAAAGGAGAATGTTAGGGCCCTGTCACACCTTGCCGATTTAGGGGGGTGGTGGATTTTTATTTTTATTTTTTTTT